AGTGATACTGGTAGTGGTAGTGATACTGGTAGTGATACTGGTAGTGATATTGACAGTGACAAGAATCATCTTACTTTGTGAACACTCCTCCAGCAAGACCAAATGTTGTATTATTTGCTCTTTCAATGACTTCATGTTCAGTTTTGAATGTAAGTACTGTCATGACGGGACCAAAGATTTCCTCTTTTACTACTCTCATAYCATCTGAACACTCGGCCATTACACAAGGTGACATATAGAATCCTCCATTAAACTCATCCTCCTCTGGGTGGACGGGTTCTCCACCACACAGCACTTGCGCTCCCTATGTATGAAAAGCCAATATACTGTATATTGCATTTTATAATCGAAAAGACCTTCATTGAATTTTGTATATTCAAAAAGGCCTTTGTACACACCTATTAAAGAAATGAGTGCAAAATATAAAGGCTTTAAAACAAATAATATTATAGTTATATTTAGAGAAATGGCACAAAATTATTTACAAAATGTCAAACGTTTTTGAACTATGACTTCATTATCAGGACTGAATAAATTAACCCAAAATGGAGAAATATGTTKAMGTTATCCCATGGGGATGCAGATGCAGGATGGTAGCAATCCATTTGTTTACTTAGCGATGGCTTGTCACTTAAGATCTTGAACGCTTCAATGGTTCTACGCTTTGGAAGATACTTGGCTTTGCCAATGATGTGCCAAGTGAAAGAGTGGTCAGGATGAAGGTGTTTGGCTGGCTCAGATGGTTTGTGGCTAGATTTATCATCATGTTCCAGTTTTTTCGGATTTCTAAGCTTCGCCTATGTTTTTATCATGGCAGGACTTTGCACGGCAGGACTTTTATCTTTGGATGTAAATAACGATTGCATTTTCCTCAATTGCTAAATAATGTTAAACTTGTACCTGTTATTCGTGTAAAGCTTCTTTAGGAGGGAAGAGCTTTTTTTGTTTTCGGTAGTCCGTCAAACCAGTGGGTAGGGATTATAGTAGTCTCATCATCAGAGTGTAGTTGTTGGAAGTTCTTGATGGTGTTTAAAATGAACTTGTCTGAATACCCAGCTTTGGATTTGATTAAYTCCACCTATGCATTCCAGTTGGTAGTGATTTGTTTAGCCCTATGTAACGCATTGTTAAGCTTCGATTTCAAAGGAGTTTGGGATGACCAGTGAACAGAAAAATTACTGACAAATTCACATTAAATTRATTCCTTTTATATCCMTCTATGTCTCTCAAAACGCTGGAAATCGCATTTCCAAGAGTTATTATTTCAAATTTTCCTAGAGGAGGTCCAGACTCCCTTAAAACTCCCACCTTTGTCGGTTGTTAGACGCCCAGATCCAAAATATGTGCCACGGTCCCTGACATGTGCGTACTAGCCAAAACGTTCATTCTAGGCGCCTGGGAAGCTTACACGTTACTCACYGGCAATGCCTTAAGGTAAGTGAAATCACAGTTYGAACGTTCAACATTTTTAAAATACTTTTGTGTCTTTTCTCCTAATATAACTATTTTTCCTTTTGCCAATTGAAATGACAAAAATATAATACAAAGGCAGTTTGACTTTGTAATGAAGTAATGTACATACTTCCTTTTTTCCTATTTCTACATAGTCCAAAACTTTGTTAAGATGGTTGCCAGAAATCATAGGACCCATTTGTGTCTTTGGATCCATTGGGTTACCAACACGAATATTTTTGGTTCTTTCTACAACTCGATGAAGAAATTCGTCCTTGATGGACTCTTCAACAAATACACGGGTGCCATTGGAACACACCTAAAAAAGGACAATATAAATCAAAAAGAACAACAACAACAACAACAACATGTATACAAGAACAATATGATGGTTTAGCAACCTGTCCTTGACTCAAGAAATTGGCAACCATTGCCCCACTGACTGCATTATCCATGTCTGCGTCTGCAAATACAATCAAAGGTGACTTGCCACCTAACTCTAATGTAATGTGTTTGATTGTTTCTGCTCCCATTTGCATTATCTGAAACAAAATASATTGATTTCTTATATTACCTAAGATTTTTACCAACATCACTGTTGTAGCAAGAACCAAGAAAAAGGAAACATTAGTAAGCCATTATTAATAAAAAATATTTTTCTTATATATTATGCTAATAAACTTTCAAATATTTTTGGGGCCCTCTCTCTATTTCACTGACCAGCAAGAAAACACTTCAGTTTTGAGAGGTAGGATAACAAAACCAACCCCCAACCTTTACCTCAAACATATCACGACAGAATGTTTTAATTTCAYTTATTTGAGAATAACCCTTCCTTTTTCTGGGATTCTTCCTTATCAGACCAAGTCAAAGAATATTCCCATCCTTACAAGATAATAAGTACCTTTTGTCCTGTTGGTACTGAGCCAGTAAATGAAACTTTTGCTACATCTGGGCTGGTGCATAGCAACTTCCCAGTGTATGCATCTCCCTGGACAACATTGATGACACCTGGAGGTGCTCCTGCTTCAGTGATAATCTCTGCYAACAGGACTGATGTTATAGGTGTTAACGGTGATGGTTTGTATACTACTGTGTTGCCACATGCCAATGCAGGACCAATCTTCCATGAGGCAGTCTGTATGGGGTAATTCCATGCACCAATCCCTGGAAAACAAAAAGCTATTATTGTTTCTTTCCAATTGCTGGGGTTCAGTTTTTAATTACTGACTAATTGTGTCTAGTAGACCTAGTAGATATCACTGAACCAGAACAATTCATGTAAAAAAAAGGAAATACACCTGAGACTTGAAGCTACACATTATTGGAAGCTACCTAATGAGGAAGGAGGAATTAATTTCAGGTTAAAAAATGTTAAAAAATGAGTTGGTATAGTTCTTTGTTAAACGCAAAGGAAAGATGTCGAGAAGGGCTAGAACTTCTGTAAGCCAGTTTGATAGACTTAATAAACAGGAATACCCAAACATTTTCTGCAGTAGATTTAACGCTGTTTTTWATWTTGTGAGAACAAAGTGTCAGGTCTAAATACTAAATATCAATAGTCTTGACAAACCTCCAACAACTCCCAGYGGTTCTCGTCTTGTGTATACAAAGTTCCCTCCTGGTAACTGGTAATGCTCACCAGCAATTGTTGGTGCAATACCACCAAAGTACTCAAGTACATCAGCAACATTATCCACATCCCACAATGCCTCATGGTATGGCTTACCTATGTTTACAATAAAATTGGACTAAGGAAAGATAATTAATACTTATTCTGCACTTCAGTCATAGAACCATCATACTCTAGGAGGTAGCTCAATTAAATATATGTACAATAGTCCATTTCACAGTACAGTCTTTTATTATAACTTTTTTCAAGAAAATTATCAGTGACTGCATGTGAATCAGAGATGGATTGAATAAAACTATAAATCTGTATACAATTTTTTGGAACTGGGACTCGTTTTTTTTCTTGTGCTGTCTAGCAATTCATTTCAAAGAGTTGAATGTCGAACGTCACAAATTAATAAAACGTATATGCCATTCTTTTTCTTTTTTTTATCAACTTTTTTTTWAATAATTTTATATTATCACAATATACACTTTTAGATACATATACACAACGGATTACAATACAATAGACCAAGAAAAAAAAATATTTACAGATTTTTTTTTTATATGCCATTCTATTGACTGAACATTAAAGAGAATAAGTTAAATTCCATTTTGTGTAAGAGTTTGAACTCAAAATACTAATCTTTTATGCACTAAAACACCAGCATTTTAGGAAAACTAGTTTCGTTTTATATAAAAACCTCTTCAATTCCTAGAATTATATACAAAGTTTTGACAAAGATTATGGACTGATTGTTTGGATATTTGATTGTATAAAATGATTGAATGGTTGTCCTAAATGAGTCTGATTCAGCCACTGGCGCGAGACTATAATAACAACTTTAAAAAATCAAGTTTTTTGATCAAGTTAATTAAAATATTCATTTTATTCAATGTTCAAAACAATGTCTTTTAGTTGAATAGCTAAATCACTCTTTCACTGTATGCCAAATGTATGAATAAGTAAAATTTAGTACAGTTTGCATTCTTGATCCATTCACTTCGTAGTTTGGTTAGTACTTCATGTAAGCAGGCTGAGTCATTCACTTCGTAGTTTGGTTAGTACTTCAYGTAAGCAGGCTGAGTCATTCAATTCGGATAAGAAGAGGATAAAAATCCACTTAGACCAGATTTGACCAGTTGCCTCAGAGTGAACACATTGCTTTCCTCTCCGATACCCAAAATTATACACATCAATCCAGCTTTTTCCATGCTTTTTCAACAGCATTTCATGTTTAAGACAGGTGAATATTTGTGATAATGGCAATGTTAAGAGCTTGTTTTACTAATTTTTGTAAGAGAATGTATGGTTGGCTGCGCGTTCTCCCCAGTCTAGTTGCACCCTTTCCAACATGCTGTCATTATCTTGATCTATTCCGATGAAGGGGAGGATTCAGCCCTCCTTCTTTCCCACCAGAAAGTGACAATAATGCAGTATAAAGTTGATAGAGAGGTATGCAAAACTTGGCCACGTTTCAAGATGAGATTTGAGAATGATACTACTGTGCATATAAGTTTACTATCAAAACATTTTACTCTCCTGTCTACGCCATTGAAAACCTCTAATAACAGAATTTATAGTACTTTCGAGGTCACCTTTATGGTTGTGATTTTTCATTAAAAATATTTATATATTGGCATTGATGTCTCTTCATGGAATCRAGGCCAAAAGACAATTTATAGACCAAACTGACCACAAAATGATACAGCAATATGCAGAAATTATGATCATTTTRAATSATATTCCAAGTATATCTAAAATATATCAGAAATTATGGGATATCATCGCCAATATTTTTTTGAAGTTGCCTAGCACTAGTACTTTCTGAAAMAAATATTGGCGATGATACCCCATAATTTCTGATATATTTTATATATACTTGAAATATGAGTCAAAAAGTCATAATTTCTGCATATTGCTGTAACCTAATCTATAATCACATGTAAAATAATATAAAACTGTTATTAAAAAAGCCGAAATTAGACAATGAATGTCAACAAAATATAGGTAGCATTTTATGATAAGAATAAACAGCTCACAAATGAATCAACTCAAAACAAACCATTGTCAGCGACTTCCATTTTTGCAATTTCATCTCTCCGACTTCGAACAATACGTGAAGCATTGTGCAGAACTCTCCCTCGTTCGCTGCCAGACATCAAAGACCAACCCTTGAATGCATTTTTAGCAGAAATCACTGCTCTGTGAACTTCTTCGTCTCCCGAACCCTTTGCTTCACATAACACCAGTCCCGTAGATGGGTCTGTAACGAGGATCGATCCAGGACCTTCTTCAGTGCAAGGATCACAGCGACGTCCGTCGATAAAATTGAGTTTTTGTCGACATGGCTCGCAGTCGATGCTCGATGTTAAAGCCCTCCATTGCCGCGATGGTAAATATCGGCCATGCCGGATGGACGAACTCAAACCAGAATGAAAGAACCTCGTAAGGAACATTGCTATTTGCATCAAAGCCGAAATAGAACCAATCTCGAGCCCAGAGTCTTCTAGGCTAATGTCAGCGGTATGCTGACGCCGGAAAGACTCTGGAGGAATCGACTGGATTGCGACGCTTTTCCGTGCAAATTAGGTCAATTTTGTTTTTGACGCTTTAGAGCATCAAAATGATAAAAAAGAAGGAGGTTTAGCACACAACATAGTCAAGAAAAGGTATTTACACCTTTTTAAAAACAAAAATGTGTGAAAACATGTGTGGTTATGCGAGAAAAGGATGACGATTTTCTTGACTAACAGGGCGAGCGCGCGCTGGCGACTTGAAAAACCGACTTGAAAACAATGCGCGCTCGCGTCATTTTCAACCAATCACGAATCGAGAAATAACGCATTCCTCCAGAGTCTCTCACGCATTGACATCCGCTGGATGGCAAAAGTGCGGGCTCTGGGTACGAGATTGAAATAGAACCTAAAATCGCGAGTTTGCAAGCATGCCTATAGACCTCTGCAGCTTTTACGTCATGTACCGTATACGCAATGCATTGTAGGACATGTTTGGTACAAAACATGGCGGATTTCTTTTGTTTTCTCTTGAAACTGATCCCACAATGAATTGAAAATCAAGTAGTGACGTAAAAGGTTCAGAAGTCTATTGTCACGCACGATCAGGCTCACCGCGAACGCAGGGAACCCAAGGACAATCACGACCATATTGAAGAAGTTGCGTCGTTCGAAAATGTTTGAAAAGATCTTCACTGTACGGCTTTGTTCAAACGCAAATCTTGTAAAGTCTCTCTAGCCACTGAAAACGGCGATTGTTTGATTTCACGGAATTCTTCGTTTTCAATCACGTGATATTAATTCAGCAGAATGACAAAACCTTTATCACATAATATGGTTCATTATACGTTCATATTATTTTAGAGCCTTCAAACTACGTATATATCTGCTAGGTTTTGAGTTCGTACAGCGTCAAGCTACTGAATCATTTGTAGCCATGTTGGAAGACGATTTTTATGTGGTCTAACATGGCGATGATAATTTAGTAAAGAAGAATTAGGCAAAATCGAATACTTCGGTTCATTTCATACAAAAATTAAACTTGAAATGGACACAAGGATACTATACGAGCCGAAATGGCAAATTGATATCGATTTTTACATTCGACTTTGATACGACCCCGGTAAGGGGGGTGGGTGGGTAGGACTACCCTAAGCCGAATGTAATATACACATATTTCAAAAAACGTTGTCATCGCCAGGACACGGTCCACAGTGTTGAGCCTGCAAAGAATCTTGGGATTGCCATATATAATTACATATTCAATGAATACTTTTTTACAAATTTTAATAATACTTATTAAAGAGCTTCATAATTCGAATAGTTATTTTACTTTTATACTTTATCTAACCTGCCTAGACTAGCTTTAGCTAATTTCAGGTTAGACTTGTAATTATTATTATTTGAAGTAATAAACTATCTGTTATCTGTTATCTGTTTTAAAACTGACGAGTTTATCAAATAGTGCAGTGGCACGCTGGCTTATTCGTGAACGCGTTGGTTCGTTTTGGTACTCAAGTTTATTGAACACGCTGGTTCGAGGATTGACTAAAAACACTCCCCGCTCAGCCGGCCCTCCCCAATCCCCTTAGGGCCGCTACGCAGGCTACAATCTAGCGACATGGTATTCAGGGAGAAGAGAACGATACCTYGTGGTGAATATTTAGTTAGCGCCCGATGTGCATGACGGTACAAGTGACGTTTACATTTTTTGACGACCAAAACAAAGAAATCCATTGTTTTAGCAAAGCAATGGATTGTGGGTGGATAACATCAATATCAGCTCTGAACTCCATATTCTCTGAATTAGGAATACTTCCCTTGCTTCGCGACCTTCAGGCGCGCTACGCTGCGGCAGCAATTATTATGCAGGGGGGAGTCACGAACATTCTGACATGTCACATATTTAACACTCCACATTCCTCACATACCAATTGTCTTACGGGGGCCAGACGGGGGAAGGGGGTTGCCAGACGGGGGAAAGGGGTTGCCAGACGGGGGAAGGGGGTTGCCAGACGGGTGAAGGGGGTTGCCAGACGGGGGAAGGGGGCTGCCATGTTTCTTTTGCTCCCTCTCTCCTCCATTCTTTATTCAAATCACGTATTTGATTATTTCAGTCGACCAAACATAGTTTCACGGTCTCAACAGTAATAATAAGACAAGAGTTGTGAACAAAACCTTTGGCCGCTTTTTTCTTGCACTTTTTCTTCCTACATTGTATCTGTACGAAGCATTTTATCCTGAAGACACGCTACGCCTACATGAAGTGTTTTTGAAATGTTAAAACATCTAGGTAAAGCTCCTGGAAGTTTGATTACCAAAAAGCATTAGAACAGAATTGCCCTATTGCGAACATTATTCACATCGAAACATTCTATTGTTTTAACGCTTAGGCCGATTATGACATCAAAACGCTGATTATGATTACCAGAGGGAATCAATGCAAATAAAATGCACAGCATCTTTCTTTGATGCATGGCATACGTCGGAAAAAATATAAAATGGGTGGAAATCTTTTTCTGATGTTTTTTCCTTTTCTTTCAATATTGTATGTACTGAGCGCTGCGTGATTTTTATTTAAAAATTCATCACCAAAATCATAGCATAGACAACTATAGTTTCCGATCTAATTAAAGGCAGGCCACTTTCTGTAACCTTTGCCGAGGCGATAAATCATAATGATGATTGTTGACAATGATTACAAAGTAGTGGCAAACAGTGCACAAACGATTTTCAGTGATAAACTGCGTGTACAATAAATGTATGCTTGATTTCATGATAAACATTAATTTCTATAATTACAATTACATGGAAACATAAATATAGCAAACTCATTCTAATATGAACACTAAATTGCTGGTGTTGGTGTTACTTTATACTTGTTTTTCTTTCGCAAATTGAAAGTCTCAGGGATTCATTATTTTGGCTGATTAATTTGACATGCCACCACATTTCAAATGGTTATTTAGAGTTCACATTAAAATGACYCACTTTATTTGATCTACATATCATTCTATAATATTGTATCGAGCTATGGTATTGCCCCATACACTTACTGTCATTTGCAAAAACTCTTGAAATAAAGTGTAAAAGGTAAAGTGTAAAAACAAGTGTAATAAAGCATAATAAGGTGTATTAGACCAAAACAAAAACTAATAGAATAGAGTGGAGACGTTAAACCATGAAACAAGACTTGACTATTTTAAAGCGCCGTTTACACGAGCAATTTTTCCTTGACAAGTTTCTTGACAAGGAAAAATTGTCCGTGTAAATGGTCAACAAGTTTTCCTTGACAATTCCTCCTTGACAATGTTT